ACTTTCATCGTTTCTGTGGATATTGCATTTACAATTTTGTATAGAGTAGGTTTTTTTGGGCACCGCCAATACAAAGATACGTTTAGATATATTGCACATAAAAGGTTGTATATGTGAGTACATACATGTAAAGTATGTGTATAAATCCATTCAGCATCATCAATATATTCATGAAATATACAGTAATGCTGATTCTCTATATATGCTTTTGCTCTCGTATATGCCTAGAGCAAACCCGTATCTCATACTCACAGGCGCTTGCCAGTCATGCCTACAATACTTCCATCACATATTAGCATCTCTCATTCAACCAAACACCCGTACATTACACCACAGGAGGGCGTGAGTAGGTAAGATGGACTGGTTTAACAAGTCAATCAAGCTGACCAAAGGCATTCTGAGTCAGAATAACGGCGGCGTGGCGACGAGTACTAACACAGACATAGTCACAGACACAGTCACAGATACGGACACAAACGCAGCCACGAGTATAGACCCAGACACGAATGAACACACACACACGAGTAGGTCTGTGGGTACTGCGCATGGGACAGCTTCCGGTGCACTGTGGTCGAGTGATTCGAGGCGTACTGATAAGGGCACCAAATCAGCAACGAAATCAGTCACGGAAACAAAAACAAAAACAGAAACAGGAATAGGAACACATCCGCTCCCCCCGGCTTTGCAATGTATTTACGACAGAGCCGTCGAAGCCATGGCGAAGGACTTGGTAGGTAAGCACAATCACGGGGGAATGAAGGATGAATCGTTGCACGACAGCAGTGAAACGTCAGACACGGATGTCGGATTGTCAAATTCGGCTGCCGGTCGCTCAAGTACGTACAGTGGCCGGTCAGACTCGCATGCTGGGGAGGTGGTTACCAATGGAGGCAAACCAGCGGAGTGTACAACGGCTGCCCTGGAAAGTAGCCGCACATTCGACTGCTTTAGCGGAGAGTTCTTGTCGTATGCGGCACAGCACAGCACCGTCCACGCTGAGGCTGATGTGGGGGTGTTGGAGGGGGTGAGAGATGAACTGCATGTATACGTGCTGCAGCTACCAGCAAGCCGTAGTAGAGATGGGCGAGGGGAGGCGGAGGAACCCCCGGGGATCGAAACAGGTCGTGGTAGAGGACAATTAAGGAGGAATGAGACACTAGAAGGCTTGGCGTATATATGCGGTCTTCTCAAGTGCCTGCTGGTTATGAGTGAGTGTGGTATCAATCAGAGACGTATAGCATCGAGTCAGACAGGCAAAACTGTATTAACGCTGCTGCAATGGGCTGTTGCGCAGGTGACACAATCAGGCCAATCATTGGTACCAGACGTTCCCGGTCAGACTGTGGCGAGATCCACGAACAGTAGTCGCGTACACACAGACCCGCAGGATACCATACGCCCAGCCAATGGTGGGGTTGAGACAGGGAGCGATACAGACAGACGCGACAGCGCGAGCGCAGCGGAGGGCCAGCACGTGGGACTGGCTGTGGGAGAGATGGCTCTGCTGAACGAGATAGTGGTGGTGAGTATGCGGCTATGGCAGCGGTTGTGTGGGGTGAGCGATCGAACACGCACGCGTGCACACGCGGAGAAGGGCGTACGTGTGCCGCAACAGGGGCGTCAGAACACGTGGGATGCGAATACCGGGACGGAAAGCGGGACGGGAGGTCAAGGGGCGGAGCCGAGTGATGCACCGGCGGCAGAGGACGAACAGGTGTGGCTGGACGGATGGAGTGAGCGTACATTTGGTGTAGGTGTCTTCGGGTGCAAGGCCAGCAACCCGCTTGGCCTGGTTGGTCGAATGTGTGGCAGTGATTCAGCCCAGACCGGTACACAGGCTTACACACAGATACGCAGGCACACACACTCACCGGTGCGTGCCCCGGGGTCGTCTCAGATACACGCACAGCCACAGCCTAAAGGATCTGATATGTCGGTTGTGTTTGATACTGGACCAGTACAACCTACCCAGAGCATGCCATACCCCGCAGAGGTAGGAGATACGGCCGCGCAGGGGTGTGATGAGATGTCAGGACATGGTACCGCACGAAGGTGTGAGGATGAGCTCATACATGGGACGTGCGAGAGAGTGAGCTGTACCGAGGCACAGGGTATCAGGTACAACCACGCGCAGGTGATGGATATGCTGGTGGCGTGTGTGGAACTGTGGGAGGGGCTGGCCAGTGTGCACGCGGCGCATGGGTGTATAGGCACACACGCAGACGTGCACGGAGACACACAGACAGCCAGCCGAACACACACACACACGGCGGCAGAGGTGCTATGTGGAACATCACCACCACCACCCGTAGACGTACATGAGGACGTACGAGACACGGCAGGTACGAGCCAGACGCACACCACACACACACCACAACTCGGGTCTGCACGCACTGCGAGTGTGGGGCCAAGCCGAACCCACATCACACAGACCGAGAAACTGGTATACACACCCCATGTGGCGGTAGGTACAAGGCAGCTCTGGCGCGAAAGCTTGTTCACGGCCGAATGTATGGGAAGGGCCTCCTACTACGATGTGGCCACGGAGTGTGTGGTTACCATGGCAACGTGTCTGGCCAACGGCGAGCAGGAGCAGAGGGACGTGTTTGCGGTGCGTGGGGGCTGGCAGAAACTGATCCAAACCATCGGACCACGTGGCCACACACGGGGACTAATACCAACACGTGAACAAGCACAGTCACGGGTACAGACACGTGCACGCTCGTGTATGGACATAGCAGAAGGTACCCGAGTGAGCCTGGAGGTGTCGCTGCAACTGCTCGTGGTGAGGTTTGTGGTGGTGTTCGCGTGCGAGGCCGAGTATGTGGTCGGTCAGCGCGTGGTAACCAATCAGATGGCCGCGATGGAACAATGCGGGGCGCCGGGAACCAATGATATCCCTCTGAAAGACGGGGGCGGCGTGGGTGATGAGTCGTATTTGAATGAGGCCCTGAGCAGTCACCTGACTCGGTTGTTGCTGTGGGTCAGTTATCAGGACCACACCCTGGCCAATACCGATGCGCGTCTGCATGCCGGTGCGAATGATGGACCTGCGTGCGGGGAGTATCGTGCAAACCCGCCAACGAGCAATACCAATAGCAACGGATTGCTTGCCTTTGGCCGCTCAGGTATTTCAAGTGTGATGTGGGGAGGGGATGTGAACCGGTGTACAGATTTGAGCATTGTATGGGACTGTTAATGCGTGCTATTGGCTTAGTTGAATGGCATTATTAGATGGGTGCGTGTGCAGATATAGAGGAAGATTAGGTGGATATTACATCATGCTGTGCGATATGATATGTGAGTTCTGTTTTGTGATAAGGGTATGCGATCTATCATATATATATATATCTATACACACACACACACACACACACACACACACATTATAT